CGCCCCGTCGGTGGCCTTTGGCGGCGGTTGGCGGCCGTTGGGCGCTGAGCCGGCGGCCTCGGGTGCGGGCGGCCTGCTGGGCCGCTGGCCTGAGGAGAAATGATGTTATTTCGGCCTTCCCCAGCCTGGGCTCCCCTTGGTGAACGTGTCTCCCTTCGGGCGGCTCCGTCGGTCCCATTCCGCCACGGTTGGCGCCGGTGCCTGCGTTCCTGTGGAGCTGGGCCCCGGACACGTCCCCGTGAAAGCACGTCCAGGTGGCCCTTGTCGTGCCTTACCCAGGAACGGGGGGCTCTGAGCACCGGGACGGGGCCGCTGTTCCCCTCAATCCCGCGGCTCTCGTCAGTGTTTCTCTCACAGGAGCTTCCCGCACCCTCGGAGGAGAAAGAAGTGTGACACAGTGGAGCTGTGCCGAGGGCGATCTCTGCTGCCCAGCCTGGGAATGCCGCGCCCTTGGGGACGCGCTGGCACATCAGTTTTCCCTTGAAAATATTTTACAAGCTGCTTATGTGAAACGTTCTGCTGCGAAGAGCTAAATGAGCTTGAAAAGCTGATGGCTACTTAAGCTAGTCTTACATTTGCGGAGATCTTGGTACTTCAGTCCCTTAGACTCACAGATTTTTGATAAAAGTCTTTCAGTAAAACTTTTTCCCGACTATGTAAGAATATGACAATAACTCTTTAAAAAACTTTGTCTACAACGTAAGATTGAAGCATCCATAACAAATAACGATGTGTGGAAAGTCATATGAAATGCATTTAAAATGTTCAGTGCTGCTCGTTTTTTCAGTATACACATTTAGAAGGATTAAAATAACCAATAAAGAATCAGTCAGATATAGGCTAACGTATTTAAAGATGGAGCACTGTTAATTAGGCTGATTTAGGTAATCTCAGGTTCATCAGTGATGCTTCCGACACTAAATGGAGGAAAAGAAGATAACAGAATTCTGGCCAGAGATGAGAACAGTTTAAATGGCAGCTACTGTCTGACTATTGACTTTGTAAGTACTTCAAAAAGGCACAGTGAAGTACAGTTCATGTGCAATGTACCTGACATTAAATGTATCTATGTAGATACAAACAATCATTGCAAGAAAATGACTTTTCTGATGTCTTGAGTTGGAAAGATGTCATGCCTACAAGCAGAGGTTATGGTCATCCTCGACTGGGAGAGGTGAGTAGTCCCATTGATGGCAATGATGCTTCCTAATTACCTAAAATTAACAAATTCAAAATTATTCACAAAACAGTGTTTCACTGGGATTTTGTGTGCAACTTAAGTATCTTACTAAATGCAGTATTTGGTTAGAGATGCTCTTTTTACCATGTGTAGATATCATTCTGATTGTAATCATATTTGTATTTTAAAATCTAGTAAACTTAGTTGCCCCTACTGTCATATTACTATATAACTTATAAAATAATATTGCTTAATGTTGCACTCCAAAGTTACCCTTGAGGCATCATTTTTACTTGCTTTCTATGGAGAGTTACGGTATCTGAAACAAATGGATTGTCAGCATTTCATCCTTTGAGGGAATATTTTTTATAAATTTTGAGATATTATTTCGCTGCAAATATGACAGGTGCTACATAAGTCAGAATGACAGCAAGAACTAGTGCTCTCCGTTGGAAATATTTGACAAGCATGCCTTGTTGGTGCATTTGAAAGAAAATGAACTTTTGAATTCAAATGCAACTAGTCTTTAAAAATAAGATTTATTTTTTAACTGGGTGAAGGGTTAATTTAGAACTGAAGACATTTACTCTGAAGATTTCCTTTACTTTCTGAGCAAATCTAGCTCCTTGTTCATTATTTTTTCTTCCCTTCCCCCGCAAAACAGTTTCAAATGTGAACATTCAAGTACAGTGCTCTCAGGAGCTGCTTGTACAGTACTACGGGAGATAATATTTAGGTCACTGGGTTTTATAGCTATTGCTAGTAAGAGTCATGCTGCTCCCTCTGGAGTATGCGAGTAGGCCAACAGTTTCCCCATGTGCTGGGTATCCTGAGTCATGGTGACTGGCCGTTGCAGAGAGCCGCATCATCTTTTGGACTATAGGCTCATATGTGATAACAGTTTAACCTCATTTCGGTACTGACTTTTCGGGCCCAGCTCCCTGAAGAGAGCTTGTAGGGGAAAAAGGGGAAAAGAAGCCGGCATAGTTTGTTAATTCATAGTGTGATTGCAGCGTGCTGGTAGCAGAGGCCAGTTAGAGATGACGTTGTTTTCTTTGTTGCTCTAGTGATGAGAATTATGTAGCTTTTTTTGCCCCCTAGTGGCTGCCTGCACAGCTCCAGTTGCTTTGTTTTTACACACACACACACACACACACACACACACACTTAGTACTGACGTTGACAGTGTTTTCACACTTCTTCGTACTGAAGTTGACAGTGTTTTTTTCTGTTGTGGTTGTTCTTAAGCGACGGGGTAGCTTTCAGTTGTCAACTCTCTAAGCTGGCTGATCATGCAGCTGTATGCATGCCCAAGAGAAAACCAGCAGTTTCTGGCTCCAGATAAGCCTTGATCGGGAAACCATCCCTACTGCTGACAGCATGTTAGGTCAGTTAACTTACTTATGAAACCATAGCCTTAGAGTGTACGCAGGTAACTATTGTTAGATAAGTCTTAAATGTGCTAACACAGATAGTAACAAAGACTGATTATAAGTGGTGGCCGAATATAAGTTCTGCTTAATATGGAGCACCAAAGAGGTGACGTATGATAATTTCCATAACGACCCTCAACTGACAAAGAAGTATCTCATTGATGTGTGTGCCATGTAGATGCACTGCTTCTTTCATCTTTGTGATAATACTTTCCTGATTTTGAAGTATACGTACTAGACCTATTGTGATCTCCGAACAGGGCATTGATGCTGAGGCTGTTCCGAGCTTTTCTGGTGACAGGGAGAGCTTTGTGTTTTTTGTCATGTTTTGACTTCCCTTGTTATAGAATAGAGGATTACACATGAAAGGTTTTGAAGCAAGCGCATTACAAGTGCAGCTGACTCCATGAAGAGCCAGCTCGAGTCCAGCTGAACACTCAGGCACATTACTATGAGAAGGCATTTATCTTGCTCTGAGGTTCAGGGGCATCTGGGCAGCAAGGATGGTAGGGGCTGTGGGACAGAGACCACCCAGAAGACCTACAGGATTTAGCTCAGTGCTATGAAGGCTAACAGGCCTGGCCTGGCTCTAGGTGTTTGGCTAGGCACTTAGGGCATCTCAGTGTCCCCCATGGAACCTGCATCATCTGTTCAGGAGGACTTTGAAAAGGATGGAAGTAATGGATTTCAGTTTCAGCCAGGGAGATTTAAGCTAGACATTGGATAAAACAGTAATTTCGCATAGCATAGTTTTACGATCTCGCTGGAACTAAGAGTTCTCCTAGATCAGTGCTGTAAGGTAACTCACATAGCAACCGTCGAAGATGGACCGAGAATATTATTTCCCTGTGGAGAGGGAGGACAGAAGCAGATTCGTGTGCTCTGTAAAGAGATTCAGAAGGGAGGAGGTATGGAAGGGACAGAATTAGGCGATGTCGACTCATTGCCTGATCGGAAGGGAGCGGGGTACATCCTGCTGCTTCCCGGGCGTCCGCTCTCGCTCGGCGGGCACCGCTGGAGCGCTCCCGGCGGGACAGAGCGCGGAGTCCTACCCACGTGGCGAGGCTTGCTGGGGAAGGGCGTTCCTTCCCGGGCCGCCAATCAGAGCGCCGATTGCCCTTCGCACGGGCCAATCAGCGGCCAGGGAACGCACATTTAAACACGGTTCCCGGGAGCCGCGACGGTGTCCGTATGTCAGGGAGAGGGCGGGGGTGTCCCTCCGCGCGCCAATCAGGG